TATATATATATATATATATATATATATATATATATATATATATATATATTAAATTAATTTTATGCACAACTTTTAATTTTTGAATATCAGTAAGTGTGGGTATTACTGGGGTTTTTTCTGTAGGTTTTACTTCAGAAGCATTTTCATTGAATTTTTCTAAAATATAACAATAATTTTTTTTTTTAAACCAAAGTTTGACTCATTATATATTGACTCAAAAAAAAATCAAGAGTGCGATAAACTAATATTTTGTTTAAATAATAAACATTTCAAAAAAAAGTGATATGCTGTGCTATGTATTACTGCGGGTATAAAAGGAGCTTGTCTCTATTACTGCGTGCCAATTACTGCGAATGACCCAATTACTGCGTGTCTATTACTGCGGATGAAATTCAATGACAAACAACTTCGGGATCATATAAGAAATGAATAAAATACGTTTGAAAGATACCTAATTAGGTATTTGTTAATTAAAATGACTTGGATTAGAAAAACATATTCCTGAAATAAATTAAATTCACATCAATAAATATGATAATTTAACACAGCATGTCTAAATTAAAAATAATGACTATTCCAGTGATGTATAACATAACAAGCAGAGTCTTTATAGTAATTAAAAACTTAACTTGCTCGGAAAAAAACAAATCTTGATTGAAAAAAATCATTTTGAAATTTTTTAAATCAATCAGAAAAATTTTTTAATATATTTGAAGTTACATTCACTTAATTTAATGGAAATTTCTTAGTTTGAAAGTTTCACTGCTTAATTTCACATAACAAAATTCTTTATTATAATCACCGCTTGTATTTTTTATTAACTTCGATTTATTTGTTTTATTGTTTTATCAATTTTCTGTTTATAATTTATTTTAAAGATTATTTATTTTTAACTAAGAGCAATTTACAGGCAACTTGAAAGGTAATATTTTCTTTTTAGGTTAGAATAAATGTATTTTACATCCGCAGTAATTGGTACAAATGCATACAAATAGAGGTGCTTCTATTACTGCGGATTATTGAAAACATTCGCAGTAATGCAAACATGGTCAGTTTATTGGTACTTATTACTGCGTCCTTAAATAAACAATATTAATTGATCAAAATTCAATTTTTAATACATAACTGATATTGAAGAAGGGTTATTCTTATTTTTATATGCAAAAAATATTAAATTTGAACGATTTTATGTAAAGAAAAAGATCTTTTAGTATCACCTCTTTTTGTACAGAAACTCACAAAAAAACTATAGTTTACTACCTGCATAACCAGTTAATTTTAATTTATTAATAACAAATTTAATAATTGTTGTACGAGTAAAACTACTGTGCAAATATTTTCTTGAAGATTTCAATTATTAGCAACAATTTTTATAAATTTAAAAAGCTCAAGTACGATTTATTTATGATTAAAATAAAAAAATCTGCAGTAATACCCACACCCGTAGTAATAACCCCCACACTTACTCTAGTTGACCAATTGTACACTACTCACAAAAATTAAGAAAATAAAAAAAAATGCAAATTTTTTTTAGATTTTTGACGGGCTGTATTTCAGCGGAAAATGATCGTATAGCAAAAATAAAAAATGCATTTTTCTGCCCTCCGGCCGGAAAGTGGCAACTTTCTGGCCGCTGCGCTAAACAAAGTTGCCACATTCCGGCTACGTCGAGCAAAAAAATAGTATACACACCTTGGCCAGTAAAAAGTAAAGCCTCAGACCACATGTTTGTCAACCGCGGAAAGCATACTGGTAAAGATATCGCCCAAGTATTCTATAAATGTATAAAAGAATTCGAATTAGAAGGTAAAATTCAAGGCATAACCGTTGATAATGCTTCTGCAAATACAAAATTTATGATAGAGTTGCAAAATTTACTTCCTAATTTCGATGCAGAAAACCAACATTTTCGCTGT